CCCCTCCGAGCTGGGAAATGCCTCACGGAGCTGGGGGAGGGAGGAAGGGAAGGCAGGCAGGCTGCTGGAGCCGGGCCGGGTGGCCTTTGTGCGTCCTTCAAGTGTGGGGAAGATGTTTGGTGAGTCTGGGCGGCTACGAAAGAGGGTGCACTGCAGTTGTTTGAAAGGAAAAAAAAACGAGCATTGTAATACTGGAGAGAAATACTGTGTCCCACCCACAGGGAGCCAGCTCCTGGATATCTGTTGGTGTAATGCTCAGCATGCCACGGTGACGCTTCAGGCTTGTTGCATGCTTGCTGCAGGATTCACTGTGCTGAAAAATTCTCCCTGAAAGAAAGGCCATGCAGAGGAATCCAGTGATAATACAGAAGCTGCCCTGGAGCACAGGGAGTGTCCTATGGGTGTGGTGATGGAACCTGTACAAGGATTGAAGTGTCAGAGATGACAATCCAACTTCCTGTTACCCAAATGCTCTCCTAAGATTCATATCTTTATATTCTGGTTTCCCTATCAGGAAGGTGATTTCTTCTTGTCCCCAAATCCCCAGGTATCATGTCGTTATCTTTTTTTGGTCAAGTAAGACTGAATGGACACCCTTAGAAATAGCTTATTTCTTGTGTTTTGGCACAAAAGGAAGTTTTCCTCCTAAGAGGATTGGGCTGGCTTTGAAAGGTTTAAGAGATAGCCCGTTGCCATGTCTGCCTGCTAATCCCTCTCAGACATGCTGTTTCTTCCACGCCTGCTGCTCAGGATCTCTCAGCAGCATTGGAACTTAAAACACTCACTATGATAACATAAATACTTTTATCAAGGCTGAGGTCCTGCACTGTTAGACTATCTTTGTGTGGTATCACGTAGTTGTATGTTACAGTACTGTTAAATCAGTTCTTGTGTGTGTTGACAGTTCTCAAAGCTCTTTGGGTTAAGAGTAGCTGTATAAAAAAAGCAAAATGTTACATTCTGCCCATTTTTTTTTCCTGTGTTTTTGGAATAGGCAGTCTTAGAAGGGATACACTGAACTTCACAGCTGTTTTGTAGCTATGTGCTGTGTTCTTGAGCTAACCATAGGCACTACTGCAGTTCAGGAGGCTTGGGGTTTGCCCTTACTGCTGCAGAAGCACCTGTGCTAGCACAGCTTGAAAGCACACTAGTGTCACTAGCTGGCAGCAAACAGAAAACCAAAAAAAAAAAAGGCATGTTTAACCTCAAACACTATTTGTTTCTTTCTCCCACAGTGGATCCCTCAACGGTGCTTTCCAAGTGAATCAGCTGTGTGTGACATCTTCACACGAGCTGCAAAGCAGCTTGGAAATACTGGGTGAGTTTGTTTTAGTTCCACTGAAGCAGCCCCAGAGCTCCAGTGGAAAATTGTAGTGTACTACCATTAGATATTCTGAAGTGAACAGAATGAATGAAGTCTTGCACTAGGGTTGGTGAGCTGGGTTTTCTCTTTCTTTAGGTTCTTCATGCAACAACATTTTGATGATTCCTTGTGCTTGGAGGAGTTAGACACAATTATTGGTTCAAAAAACGTTCTCATTCTTCAGTGACTTTGAGAGGAAGAGGAAAGGTATGAAAGAGTCAACTGCATTTTGTCTAGTAGGGGACTCTTTGGTCTTTGTAGTATATCCAAAATTCAGTTTGCTTTCCTGTTTTCCTCTATGTGGGTCTTTCAAGACATGGAGCAGAACTGGATGGTTTACACAGTGGCTAATAAAACATTGTCCTTTTCATCTCTGCCTTTGCTCAGATCTCCCTGGCTTCTTAGGCACATGGCAAATTTGACTCAGTTTGCTGGAGGGCACTTAGATGGCATTGTGCTACGATGACTTCAACAGAACCTCTAGAGTATAATTTATTAGATGATTATTATGTTCTGCTAGTGCACTTAGGGCAAGAGCCCTTTGCAGGGAACAGCAGGTACCAGCTGAAGGTGCCCGGCCACTAGTCACACAGAAATTCCTTTGCTCCCTCTTAGAGATGATCTTTAGCTCTGTAGACAGAAAGAACTGTATACCAGTAACCCTGTAGTAAGTTAGTTGTTTAACTACTATTACTTTAGGATCTGATGCCCCCAGAACTTTCACTGTGTATGCTGTTGCACCCAGAAGAGGAATTTAGGCATACAAAGTTTGAGGTGCTTTTAAAGAGCCAAAGAGGCTAAATGAGGAGTTGAGTTTACATATGGGAGCCTATAAGGTGATCTGCTTGTCTTCCCTGTTGTGTGTCATTCCAGACCTTACTGGTATGGTCCCCACACCATGAGTTTTGACATCTCAGAAATGACCCAAAGCCCAAGGGTGTCAGGCATTAATTCTTTCCAGGGTTGGTCAATGCAGTGATAAAAAAGAAAAGAAAAATTAAAGAAGGAAATGACAGTATGCAAGAACAGAAAATGGGAAGCTGGGACAGGAAGTGAAGAGCACAATAATGCAAGCCTGTTTAGGAAGCCAGAAATTGATTTCTTAACTATTATTGTGGGTTTTTCTAGCCTTATTTTCAGAGAACTTGCAATAGAGGGTGAAAATAGTCTCAGATATAGTGACCAAAAACCCTGTTATCATGTAGCCAGATCAGACCAGTCCACACAATTTCCTTCTTTCCTCCACCTTTCAGAATTGTACAAGCACTCAAAAGCAGAGTGTTGTTTATATGATTCATGGACATATTCTCAGCCTTTTCACATTCCTTTCCTCCCATGTCACCCAGTACATAGGCTGGAGTCGTCTTGCAATCTTAATACCAAAAAATTAAATCTGTTTTTGTATCGTATTTAGCATCGTCAGGCTCCAACTCGCAGAACTAAGATGAAAATCTCAGTCACATGAATTTGGAGATTTGTCAATAATCCCTAATGGATGTTTTCACAACTCAAGAGGATTCAGTAGTTTGATCAAAATGTGTGTAGTTTATAATACCCAGGCTAGATTTATCCTGTAGCGTGGGTGTGACAATAAACAAGCACCAATGGCAGGGAAATACCAAGTTATTTCTTGCAAAAATAAATAACAACTTTGAATGTAAATTCTAAACCCAGGTGTTCAAGCTGAAGAAGTTTGAAAGGTAACACAGACAATGTGTTTTTTTCAGCAAGACCTTTGTTTACTAGAACATGTTACTTGCCTCTCTGAAGTCCATGTAACAACTCCTATGTTTAAAATAAAGCAGATTCTTTTCCACTTTGTTGGCTTGGATCTTATCAGAGTGGGCAATAATTAACACTTTATATAGGAGTATTTAAGCAAACTGTTGAAGAAAGTCTAAAAGGAAACGCTGTGTCCCCAGATCTCCCAGCCCTTGCTGCCTGTGGCACTGTATCAGTTGCTACCAGAAAGGACCAGTTTCCTGTCTTTGAGTTTATAAATTGCCTGTCATTTAAAAATAGAGCAATATGGAGAAAAAAAAAAAAAAGCAAATACAGCCCTAGATTTGGTAGCCAACAGCTGAATTATGGTGCTGTACTATTAGTAAAATGCAGTTACTTTCTCAGGGGAAGTTTGTGCATCCAGGTGACTCATCCCTTTGCTTTCTGCCACACCCCAACCTATTGAGCTGCAGCCGCTGGTTACAAATGGATGTTTCTAGGGGCAGTGCAGCAAAATTCTGTGAATAAACCCAGATCTTCGTGCTGCTTTGGTTAGCTGGACCTCTTTTTCTCTTTTTCAGTTCCAGAACGTGGAGTTGTGGCTCTGAAGATAACAGAAACGTATTCCACAGGCCCTGAGGAAGCTGAATTGCTTGTTCTTGAATGTGGAAGAAAACTTCTGGTGAAGGTTGTGTGTTGACATATATAACATCTCCAGCCTGCAGCTGAGGTTGGTGTCTTATGACAGCAATATATGTCCTGTTATTCAGTTCCCCTTCTGGCATTCCACTTGCCTTGTTTCTTCCGTCCTTCCAGGCAACCATGAAAGAATGAGAAGTTAAAAAGAAACTCAGCACTTTTTGATTCTGAGTATTAGTTTTAGGTCATCCACAACTACCAATATTTTCTCCTTGTATCATGAAAGTGAGAAGAGGGGCAGGGATGCATAGGAAAAGGGAATAAGAGTTCAGAGAGAAGTTTAGAAAACTTCCCTTGCACAAAGTTCTGCTTCATCAGGTTTAAGGGACTGTGTAGACAGGTGCAGCAACAGTTAACACATTTAAGTATTTAGGGTGAGTGCAACTAGCAAAGTTTTCCTTTGATGAGACATTTTGTTGATGTTACTGAAGATTTGAGGCCAGTTAACTGTCAAAATTATGTATTTGTTATTACAGTTCTTTTTCTGAGCACTATAAACAAAAACATGCAGGCCTGTGACTTGCTCAAATAACCGAGCTGGGTTGTGTCTGCTTTGCAACAAGATATCAGACAGTCAACAACCACAGCGGCTGTGCTCTGCTGCCTGGGTGGATGCTGTGAATCCACTGCAGCACCTGTGAGTGGGGAGCACAGAGCCAGTGTCTGCACAACAGAGATCAAACCGTGGTGGGGCAACAAGCTGTAGGGGCAGGAAAACTAGACAAGAACTTAAGAACTTTACCTGCCCTTTCCCTTCTGGTGTCAGTGATGATGAGGAGTATAACAGTAGCAACCAGAGCAGCTGTAGGCAGCAAGGAGCTCAGCACCATGAGGGTGTGGAGAGTCCTGCAGGGAAAAGCATGCTGTCTCCATTACTGTTTATAGGACCAGAGGTGACTAGGTTAATTTGGGAGGGGATTTTGTCTGTCTGAAAACAGATTATGGTTCCAAGATAAAAATTCAGCATGCAAATATTACCCCTGCTGTCTCTAAACAAGTGTGGTTCCGTGAGGTCAGAACTGATCTACAGCCACAGAGGATCCATCCCAGCTGTATTTTATTTGGCTCTTGGCAAGCCTGGGGAATACTCAGGAGCTTGAATTCTCCTCTGTAGTCATTTGCAGTGCTACTAGAGTTCAAAGGCATCCCTCATCAGGATGCAGTAGCTCTTCCATGGTCTGTCTTTGATCAGGATCATCAATAGGGTCACCTTTGATCAGGCCTGGCAGTAACTCTCCTCTGACATGCTCTGTTGGTTAGTTGGGACTGGTCTTAGGCTGGCATGTTTGTACAAAAGGCAGAGTCATCATAACTGTGTGTAGCTCATATAGCTGTCCCTTTTTCAACCAGGTAGAAAGTAAGAACACAGTCACACAGCACATCTCTAGTAGGAGCCTCACCTGTGCTCCTGGAATGGACAGGAACCTTCTCCAGCTTTTCACAGGGCTTGGGGAGGTTGGACCACACTCTGCAGGGGAGAAGGTGAAACCTCTTTGTATGTGGATGTGTGCATGTGCTTCAGCTGTCACACCACTCCTCAAATGCTGCTCTACATCCAGGGTGCTAGACTTTGAGTCCAGGAGTTTTTGGTTTTTACCTCTGATCCTTATTGCTGTCATCTGTGGAAATGGCAACATCCCCCTTCTTAGCAGGAAAAGTCTAAATCTGCATCCCAAATAAAATTTTCCCCTTAAAAAAAATCCCCAAGAGCAATGATTTTCCCACATAAATTAATCCTTGGTGAATTTTTCTCATAGTAAAAAATCCTGCTTTGCAGGTCTGTAGAACAACCCAGAGTTACTGCTTGCTTGTTAACTATGAAATTGTGAAGTTGCACAAGAAAATGCATCCTGTGGTACTTACAAGTAAAAGAAGGGTGGTTAATGCAGCTGGATCACAGGAATAGGATCAGCTAGTTCCTCAGACAGGAGAGGGGAGTTTTGTTTGGATTGTTGTTTAGAACCTGTTTTCAGTGTATCTAAATGAAAATGTCATGTGTGGGCCCAGCCAGAGAGCTAGGACAAGAACAGATAGAAGGTGATTCCACTTTTCTTCCCTTTGGGTTGTTGGTTCTCTGGGGTTTTTATTATTCTTGCAAAATATTTGATACTTGAGTGCACGGTGCCTTGGAAAAGCCACTTGCTCAATGTTTGCATCATGTGCAGAGGGACAAATGAGATTTACTTTCTCCTTTCCTGACAAGCTTGGGTCCTGTGATAGATCAAAGGGAAAAGACAGCTCCTCCAGGAGGTCAGTTCTGTAGGAGGTATAGGTCAGCCATGAAAATTCAGACCATTTTGGAGAGTGATATGAAAACTGAATCGCTTATTTGGACACTTGAATGCTGTTAGAATGGAAGCATCTTAGACAAAAAGATGTCATGTGATTCCCATACATGTTTTTTAGTCATATCTGAAAAACCAAAGTATAGCTTCCACTAAGTATCTTCTCATTTTCTGCCTCCCATGCTTGCTACAAGCAGAAAAGGAAGCAAAGGGTTAAAACTAATACAGAAGTTTACTAATGAGAAGTGGCAAAGAGATGATCTAGGGTAGAAACTGAGGCAAAGATTCAGATTGCCTGGAATCTGTTTCATCTGCCGAAGTGAATGTAACATTCCATCAGTTGAGGAAGCCAGGCCAGACTCCCCCCCACCCCACGCCCAGCTGGCTGCAATTTGTTTATACCATTAGTATGTACCAAAAATCTGTTTAAAAAAAAGAAATTCTGGCATTAGCTGTGTCTCAGGAAATTTCCAACCTCGGGAGAGAGCTCTTTAACACTGACCTGTAATCTTTCTTGTCAAGTGGTAAGAAATTGCTGACTTTTAGAAGATCATTAATTCTTTGATTAACTCACCTCAAACTTCCAGCATGATTCTATTCAGTAGTTTGTTTCTCCCCTGGAAAAGGCTCTCAAGATGATATTCTCCTGAGTCATTAAGTTGGAGCTTTTTCAGCCACACTCTAATCATCCTCCACGAGCAGTCATTCATCACTGCAGTCCTTCCTACTTTAACAATACTTTGATCAGAGTTACCTCTGATAATAGGTTGACATCTAATTCGGGACACCATTTTGCACCAACTAAAGTGTTGAGGTTTCCTGATGTTTGCTATCACAGAACAGGAGCAATCCTGGGACAGGGAATTCCCTGGTTTCTTTGCACACAACCTTACAAGTACTGCAGAAAAGCCAGTGGTGATTCATTAGAGGGAGAGGACGGGAAAAAACAATCCCTGTGGCAGTGTTCATCCCACCCAGCAAAGGGGCAGAGCCACCATCAGCACAAAGAGAACTTGCAGAAGACAAGAAAACAAGCAGCCCCATTCTGAGGAGAGTGACCACTGGAAAGGGAAGTCAGGTGGCACGTGGGAAATTTGGATTAGTGCTGCCCTTCCTGAGCACAGAGATGTTTCAGCTTCCAGGGTGGCTGCTGCTGCCCAGGTCCCCAGGCCATGGAGCCACCTCAGCATACTTCTTATGCCTCACACATGTTCAGGTTCAAGGTGGTCTTGCTCCAGCTCACCAGTCTCCTACATGAGTTATCAAAGCTTTGCTGTGTGAAAGGTTTCTGTTTTTCACCAACTCCCTTGAAATATTTCTGTCCCAAAGCCATTTGCTTTTGATTAATACAATCCTACCAAATTGTATTCATTGTTTTTGATGGTAATCTGTAAAGTATTGATTTTGTTTTGAAAATTTATTTCATGTGGCAGAACTTCCTGGCCACTTCTGCCTCTAGATACATACAGGCACATATTGTGGTTCTGTGTTGAACCATAGAATAGCTTCACCCTGTCCTTGATAACCTCTAGTGAGATCTCTGTGTCTAGAGACACCATCTTTTGCTGTGAAACAAAAATGGAAATGACACATCAGTCTTAATTCATTTTGGCTGTCTCTCCCTGGTGCACTGCTGACCTCCCAGCTCACCCCCACGTGAAACCACCACCTGCATTCTTTGCAGCAGGGTATTCTTCAGCTCACCCCCCACCCCCCACTGCAATGTGTCAGAATTCTCCCTGTCAGGACCCCAGAAATCCAGCCAGGTCCAGTCTGAACGATGCACTGCATGGTTAAGGTTAATCCCTTCTTTTAAAGGGGAACTCAAGGCTAAGACTCAACAAGACTTTTCTGACAGCTCCTTGCACCAAAAATTCTTCTCATGTAAATTCTTGTGTGTTATATGAGCAGTTAGCTCTGGAGGACTCTCTCTCTCTATGCAGAAACACTTGTGTGTCTTCTCTTGCCACGCAAGATTCTTCCACAGAAAGAGGAAAATGATGCTACAATCAGCCACAGCTTAGTATAGCAGATTTTCCTACATTTTACCACTGAGACTCACACTACACTGCTGAGAAGAGCAGCTGAACTCTGCAGGTTTGCCTAAAGAATCACCTGTACTTAGCCATAACATCAGTACCCTTTTTCTATTTTTGTTCCTCTTGTTCCTCTCTGTGGGCTCAGTATTTATTTGCAATGAGAAGGCAATCAGCAGCTAACCTGTCTGTGGCAATCCCTGTAAAATCTGAGATACAGATTTTACTAAAGAATTACCTGTACTTAGCCATAACATCACTACCCTTTTTCTATTTTTGTTCCTCTCTGTGGGCTCAGTATTTATTTGCAATGAGAAGGCAATCAGCAGCTAACCTGTCTGTGGCAATCCCTGTAAAATCTGAGATACAGATTTTATCAGACAAACACAGATTTTCCTCCCCACATGTGAGGTGACTTCAGAGTGAGAACTTGGTGATAGTTCTCAGAGGGAAAGGTCTCAGAAGGGCAGAGACTGCCAGGTGTCCCACCATGAAGTTCAGTTTCTAGACAAAATGCAGAACTACTATAAACAAAAATGAGAACCCCAAAACTTACATAATTAAAATAAGCAAATTTCAGCATCAGTGTTTCCTCCCCTCGTTGACATTGGGAAACACTCTGTGCTGGGCTATAAGTGGCCTGAATAAAAAGTGCTCAGGAAGGTAACAGTATGTAATGCATGGAACAGCCCAGAGAACAGCCTGCTCCTAGGCAGAACAAAGAGTCTCTGAACCTTACCTGGCAGTGCCAGCAAGAGCAGCAGGGGTGGAAAACTCCCCATCCTGAAGGAGAAAGCATTTTAGGGGGGTGGATTGGATCCTACTGCTGCTTTATCCCTGAGAAATTCTCTGTTGCAGTGGAAGCTAACTTGTTCTCTCACTTGCAGTCATCTGCTGCCTAGAGTGAGGATGCCTGGTTGGAATTGCTGAGAACGTCTTTTAACCAGCATCTTAATGTTATTTCCTGGGTGGAAACCTGCACAATGTTACTGGCTGCTTCCTCACCTGAAATAAGTTTTTGTCTCTAGAGCCATACTGAGTAATGGGGCTGTGTGGCTGGCAGGGAAACAGGCAGGTTTTGGGCTCTAGTGCGACCTTGATACATTACAGAGCAGCTTTCAGCTGGATGTGTTCATCTCTCTGCACTCATGGGCAAGTTTTCTATCCCTCATCCCCAAAGCCCTTGTGCAGGGGTGGAGAACATCACTGCACTATCTTGGAGGCAGGGGATGGCCCTGCCTGAGGTCTCTCAATAGGCTGCAGCTGGAAGCAGGACCCAGATCTCCTGGTTAGAGCTGTGATTCCTATGTTTTATAGCATGTCTAGCTGGGCACCACAGGACCATGTGGGAATGCTGCAGCCAGGTTTGTGTTAGCAGAGCTGCAGCAGCATGTGACTGTTTATGGCCTAATTTAACCTCTGGAAATAGAGGAAATTAGTTTAGACAGAGCACAACCATGCATAGCCTGATCTGGTTTGGGGTCTGAGCTACTCTTGCTGTGTGGAGCTGGCTGAATCTGCCAGGCTGCCCCACAGGCTCCGAGCGTTTCAGGGTGTTATAAACACAGCAGGGTGTTTACAGGTCACCTCTTCTTCGGGTGGTGTCGTGGGATCTGGTGTACTGCAGCTCTTGGTCATGAAGCCACACAAAGTCTGATCATCAGTTTGACTTTATTCAGCTTTGCAGGTGGTGCAAAGAAAGAAGTGTGGGTGCCCTTGAGTTTGGGGGCTTCCTGGGAGAGCTAAATGCAGCTTCACTTTGGGGAGCAGTGAACAACGATCCCCTCAATAGGGTGGAAAAAATACAGGGAGAAACACAGAGAGACCGTTTGTTCTTCATTCACAAAGTCATCTGAGAAATAAGGAAGCAGAGTCAGAGCTGCATGGAGACTTCACATCCTTTTCTGTTACATTCTGCAGTTCCCTATGCCTCCCACAGTGACTGCTCACCCAAGGCCGTTTTGAGGAGCTAATCTTCATCACCTTGGATAGACAGGATCTCTCACCTGGCTCTGCTCTGAGATGATGTGAAGTCAACAGGTCTCAGTACAGACCCTAGTGGGACAACTCCAGGGATCAGTATCTGGAATAACTGGTGCAGCTACTGACAGTGACTGGAGGTGATGGCAGAGCAGAACATTGCCAAAAGTGTGTCAAAAGTCTTTAGAGAGTGGAATCTCAGTTTAAAAGCTGATTTGTAGACAAATAATAATATTAACTTTCAATGCAAACCATCTAGTTCTGGTTATATTTCATACTTTTGGGGGAAACATTTGAGTGTTTTGTAGAGACATGTAGGACACCCTGAAAAAAGCTGTGAGTTCTTTAACACTGCTCTTCAATGAATCAGAAATTTCTTGGGGACTTGAGACAGAAAACATGTCTTTCTATTTTTACATTATGTGGATGTGTTTGTGAGTTGTTCAACACATGGTCATTGAGATGTGTTACCTGAACTTCTGTTTATCTTCACTGGTGTATCTGTAGTTTAAATTACAAAAGAATTTGTCAGTAGCTGTATAGAGCAGCAAAGAGTTTTTCTGGCCTAGCAATTTGCTGGGGGAGAACAGAGCAGAGCTCTCTCACCTTTACCATGCCTGGGAAAGCATCTCTCCTTAGAGACAAGTCTCTGCACAGATCAGTCTGTGCTGGATTTCTAGACAGATTATATATTCCTCCTTTCCCTCTGGCCCTTGATCCCATCCTCTTCCAGTGGGTTCAGGTGTTACTGGCAGCATCTCTTCAGTTCAGTGGTGTTGCAAAAAGTTTGGTCAGTGCCAATGAGATGAGGTGGTAGATGGTGACATCCCCTCTCTGGAGTGACAGGCTCATTGATACCTGTGTTTAGTAGGCAATCCTTTCCTTATGGCAGGTGGCAGAAGCTTTGCCTGCAAATGCTCAATGTTAATTTTTCTGTGGATTCCCTTTGGCTTGGCTCTAGGCAGCACTCTCCCAGGAAGGGCTGATTCCATCACGTGCAGGCTCAGCAGTGAAAGGGAAGACCTGCTGCTCATTCAAGCTTGGGTTCTTCTGCTCAGCTTCTCTGTTCTTCCTGCTGTTGCCAATGATAAAGATCAGCACAGCCACCAGGAACTTAGGAACCAGGAATCCAGCAATTATATAGAAGACAGTGAAATCAGCTTCTGGAGGGATGCTGTGGGGAACCATCAATACAACAGTGAGGGGGGTGGTTCAGCATTTAAAGAGACTTGCAGTACACAGTATGAAGGTGGTAACACCTCCTGGCACAGGCAGCCCTGCATGTGCACCACAGAGCCTGGGAGGTTAGAACAACTATAATAACTCATCTCATATAGGGATAAATTATGATTTGCAGGAGCTGTTTTGCTTGACACTGAAACACTCTGTTTTCTGGGTTAGGATAATGCTGCTGTTTAGAAACCACACAGCAGCTCTAGGAGTTGTCATAGATGATGAAGAGGTAGAGAATATGCTTCAAATGGGGTTGCCAGTGCTAATCCACCTCAGTCCTTGGATGACTAGAAATAACAGCAAGAGGAGTTTTGTGGCTTACCTGGAGATGCTCTGCACAGCACTGGGCTCCTCAGGCATTTGGGTCTCCAGGACAGCTGATAATAGAAATAGAACAATTTATTCTACAGAAGTTTCTGGGTGATACTTGTTGGTGTCACCAGTGCCCCAACTGGACATAGATAACCAAGGTGAGACTGGGCTGGGGTCTTCAAAGATTAGTTAGTGGGTAGTAATAAGGGCATGACATATGTTAGATGTCCTGTAGCAGTGATGTCGTGTTGCTGTAAATCAAGAACTAAAAAGAGAGTAAACACAGTATCTCCTAAGAGTAAAGCTCAGGTAGAGGTTTACTAAAGTGAAGCCTTGGTGTCTGCAGACACGTGTGAAATGTAAGCAGGAACTCCAGAGCTCTGCTCCATCCCATCCACCACAGTGGTGCTCCCTGCAGCACAAGACATACCTGTCAGCACTTCCACTTGCACCTTCCTCAGGATGACTTTTTGCCCCATGTAGTCAGTTATGCACTGGTACAACCCAGCATCCTGCTTCTTGAGTTGCTTCATGGTGACAGTCAGGACCCCATCGTGGATGTTGTCAGTGATGGAGGTGGTTCTGTTCCTGCTCCTCAGGAATGACATCCAGGAGCGCCGGGTGCTCACCATGTACTGGCACGTGGCCTCAGCGACCTGCTTGCACCATCTCTTCTCTCTCCACCTCTGCTGCCAGGGGTTGTAGCTGCAGTTGACAGAAATGGTGCCCCCCTCCACTCCGTACACCACAGTGATGTTCTCTGCAGCACAGGGTGCTAGGAGAGAAGGAGGAAGGGGTGAGCCAAGCCTCTTTCCTATCTGTCCCTTACCATTATGGTTATGCCCAACTTCATTTTTGCAAGTCCTGGCCCATGCTGCCCAGGGCAGTGTGTTGGAGTTTCCATCCCTGTGAGGGGTTTCAGAGCTGTGGAGGTGTGGTGCTGAGGGACATGGTTTAGTGGGGACCTGGCAGGGCTGGGTTAGCAGTCGGACTCTGTGATCTTAAAGGAGTTTTGCAACCAGAACGATTCTATGAGTCTGTGTTTTTCATGTTTGAGAACTCTCATGATGGCTGCTGTCACCTGTCTGCTCCCCCCAGGAAAGACAGAGTGCGTCAGCTTCAGAGTCTTGGTTCAGACTTTCTTGCAATATGCCCTCAGACTGGTGTGTTGTCTCTTGCCAGGGCAGCTGTTCTTGTGTGGAGGGCTGAGGAAAGGAGGAGAGGTATCAGCGTCATTAATTTGCAGATTTTCTGAAGCTCAGGAAATTTTGGTCCTTGACTTCCCTTCTGGCCCCGTGGTGACTGCTCTGGATTGCAGCCTGGAGCTCAACCACATCACGCCTTCTGTAGTCATTGGGCTCCTGCCCAGTAAGGGAAAGCAGTTTGTCAGCATGATTAGGGGATTAAATACAAACTCACATTTTCCTCTGGTCCTGAGGAGCATGGAGCTGGGCACTCCAGCAGATTGAGCTGGCATCAGGCAGGCTGTCTTGATTTTTAAAAGCTCTTTTTACAAGGCAGCTCCTAAAAACATAGCCTCACCCAAAGACAAATTGTTTGTGTGTTGCTGGAACACTCGTGCTCTCGCTGGCCTGCAGTGGCAGCAAGGCAGCTTGCTTCAGGTTGCAGCCTCAAGCTCACCCCTTGCACCGACGTTCTCAGACGCAGATTTGGCTCTGGGGTACCCCTGCTGTGACAAAGGTCCTCTGCAATAAATGCCCGTGAAGCTTATCCCTGTTTTAATGGTTTTTATACATCCACAGAGAAGCAACACAGCCCTGGGAAATGCTAGAATCAGTGATGCCTACAAGACAGTGACCAAGCAGCTGTTTCACAGTTACTTCTTAATTCCACTCCTAATTTTTAAATCCAGAATCTCAGCAAGTTTTTTCACCCTGTCTTTTAATACCCTGCTAACTTTTATCATGTTGACAACTGGTCTTTGGCTGCTTGACTTTTTTTTTTCCCTTAGTTCCTTATTTTTAATTTCCATTCCTCTTTATGGTAGGCAAAGGCCAAGGGCACAGTCTGAGCTATTAATACTTCCAGAGAGAAGTGCAGTATGGTATTTGTGGAAACCTCTGTGTTTCCAGTGCAAAACTTCAGAGGCTAGTGCCTTCTGTGCAATCCTAAGTCATGATCAAACAGAAGTAAATGAAAAAAAAAAAGGCTCTTGTAAAGACTTTGTGCTGGCTGAGCCTCATAATAACACTTCTTCAAATAATTTCAACCATTCTAAATCTAAAATACCTGAAGATCTTTCGGACTTGATGAGAAGAAGGTGTGAAAATGGATCAGTGCTCTCCAAGGATCTGACACCTACACGTCTTCATCCTCATTCGTTGCTCCACTCAGTTGTTCCAGTCAAGGCTTATCTCACATCCAGTCCAGTCCTGTGCAATTCTCCAAAACATTTTAACTCCCTCTCCTATTTCTCTGGACCACTCCTTGCCTCAAGTGCTGTCCCTTCAGTTCCTGGAACAGCCCCAGGGTTTTGTTGTTTTCTGGTTTTCTTTTAAACAGAAGCAGCATTGCAAAAAATCTCTCAATCAGAATCATGGCATTTAAAGGTTTACTGATGCCACTGTGGAAAACTTTGTGTCATTATCTTTTCAAACAGTTCTGCTGACAGATCATTTGCTATTTGTGTTCCTCCTCCCTTGTTGTGTGCTACTGAAAAAAGTACTTTTTTTCCAAACTCATCCAGATTTTTGAGACAGGTTTTTGTGCTCCCAAAGCCTGAATCTGTTGCCTTTCTGTACACTGCTGCAAGTATCTGGGATCATGGAATCACAGAGTGGTTTGGGTAGGAAGGGACCTTTAAAGCTCATCTTTAAAGACCTTTAAAGCTCTTTAAACAACTAGAGCAGGGTGCTCAGAGCCCCGGCCAACCTCACCTGGGATGGTTCCAGGGATGGGGCAGCGACCACCTCTCTGGGCAGCCTGGGCCAGGGGCTCAGCACCCTCCATGTAAAACATTTCTTCCTTCTCTGTAGTCTAAATCTCCCTCTGGTAGTTTCAAACCATCCCCCCTTGTCCTGTTGCAGCAGGCTCTGCTAGAAGAACAGTCCCCATCATTTGGAATCTGCAAAGTGTGGCTGGAGAGAGAAAGCTGCTGGCTGGGAGCACCAGCAGGGTCCTGCGCTGTTTCTTGTTTCAGATGAACACTGATGAAACTTCCCAAACCAAAAATAGTCAAGTGCCCAAGATTTTGGAGATGTCCCCTTCACTGAGTTTTACTTTTGCCCTCTTGAGCCCTAGCTGCTGGAATTTACATTCAAAGCCCTACAAATGCAAGCAAATCTTATTCTGCAATTTCACATTTCTCTCTGAGAAGTCACCCAGGACTTCTGCCAAAAGTGTTTCCTGCTGTGACTCAGGAGGATCCCTGTGAGGAGCGCGAGGCGCTTGGATCACCGCCGGCCCTCGGTCAGATTGAGGGAGCAGAACACACCCTGAGGAAGGACTCTGCCACCCGTGCAATGCAACTGGGGAGGGAGAGCAGAACGTGCTGCAGTGCTCCAGGCCCTCTGCTTACGTTGTGTTGGACCTTGCAGGGTCCAGACTGGCAGTAAGACTCTATCCATAGCATTTGTACCGGTCTTCCAAAGAACTGCAAGCTACAATGCAGTTCTTACAAAGCAGAAAAAGCTGCTTTGTTTCCAGACCTGTGCAGTCTTTTCCCACAGCTCTGTCCCTAATCTCATACAAGGTGCAGGTAGAGACTAAATACTGCAGTAGTCCTTTATCTTATCTGTCATCTGAAACCCAAGGCCCTGTACACTTTCTTACCTGACAAGAAGACCAAGAAGACGAGGTGCACAAGCTTCTCCATGTCAGCTGAGCAGCAGAGGGGATGAGAGGAGTCTGGAGAAGAGTGAAAAGGGCTTTTGCCCAAGTGCAGCTTGCTTTGTCCCCTCCTTTCTCTGCTGGAAGGAATGAACACAGGAACTTCACATCTCTTTTGCCCTGCACATTGAGCAATTCACCAGGGACAGGCATTTATCTCATGGGCTGAAAATTTAGGCATCAGCAGCACCCACTCACAGCCCTGATTTAGTCCAGACATCCTGAAAGAAAGCATCATGTGATGGCTTGAAACCACAGTCCTGGGAGTCCCTCCAAGCTCAGCAGCGGTGCCTGTCCACCAGAGCAGGCTTTACTTGCATGCTTTGTATGGGGTGAGTTTCTGGAAAGCCAAAAGGGACAGGGTGGCTCTCACTGAAACTCTGCAGGTAGCTCAGTCAGCATCACAGGGGGGAAAGGAGAGCAAGGGCATAATCTTGTGGGTTGTTTTCAGGAGAAAGATGATTTAGAAGAGCCTGGGCATGAAGCATTCCTATTTGACATATAACTGAAGACAGGAAGACAAGAACACTGGGTTGGGGGAAGCTGTGAGGTGCTTTAGGTGGGCAAACCAGGCACCTTTATTTTGCACCTAGCAGAAAGGACATAAGATCAATGGATGGGGACACTGATTCAGGGCCTGTCAGTGCCCTGCTGGTGCAGTAGTCAGGACTGGGTAAGGGACACTCCTTCAGCATTAGCAAGCTGCTATGCTGTGCATGGGCTACTATTTTTTTTCTTTTTTGAATTTATTTACTTGGAGATCTTCCATGCAAGTACCAATAGACCCTGGCTTCTTAACTTGTGTGCTTATCTGCTTTTTAACAGGCAGATAAACCTGCAGGTCTGTCCATTCATAAATGTGCCTTCTTTTTCCTTCCTCTTACAAGTGCTTAAGATAATGGTACTTTATGGTGTCCAGAAATTCCCTGTGAAGTTCACTGCTTGCAGTTTTTGTTCATTCTTGCTCCAGTGAACACAAATCTGGATTCTCTTTGATCAGAAGCAACAGTCTCCCTGAAAATGTCTTTCTTCCACTCAATTGTTTTCTGCTGTTTTCCACTGTTTGTCCCTGTGGAACTGACTGCATGAATAGCAAATAATTTGGGGAATCTTGGGCTGAAGGAACCATTTCCAGAACCATTTTCTTTTTCTTTCTATCATTTCAAGTTAAACATGTCAACTTTGAAAAGCTCAGAAAATACATCAGCTTCCCTGCTGCAGCCATAGCAAGAGAGGCCAGTTGGGTGTGAGTAGGGGAGTGGTTCAGGCCCCTTTAATTTGCCACCTGTCTGCAGAGCTGGGTGCAGTCAAATAAAGCACCAGAGTTTCTGGTCTTTTGGAGAAATTGAGCTGAGCCCCTGCAAACTCATTTCATATTGCTCAGAACATGATTGCTAAATAAAGGTACCAAGTGTGTCATTTGGAGTATTTCCAACAGAGAGGGAAGTCATGGTATCACTTTCCAAGGCTCTGGTGAGCTCTCCCCTGAAACTGCACGTGCATTTCTGTTGTCCTGTGGCTTTAAAAGGAGTCACGAAAGCTTTCAATGGTGTAGCCAAAAAACAAATACAAAAGATGCTGGCGGTGGGGATGTTGGTTTGTATTGGCCTTCCAGAGAACTCAGAGAAACCTGCTGCTCTGGTGAGTGGGCTGGGAAGAGGAGTTTAAAGCCCAGCACAGTGCTGGGGAAGAACAGAGCTACCTCTGAGACTGGCTGGCTGGTGATTACTGCAGAGATGCAAAGATGCCTCATAACAATGAAGGCAAGAAGCCTTGGAAAAACCTGATTGATAGTTTATGAGGAGGTTATTCAGGATAGCAGGGTCTGAGGAGGTCCCAGCCAGTCCAGTGTTCGTGTGGCAGCTCCTGGGAACTGTCAGCCTGCATCAGACCTGCACTGGAGATCTAGAAATGTATTGTGTGTCTGATTTACTTGGACATTTACATCTGTAAATAATCCACTCTTAATTACCATCATGTCCCCTCTGTTATAGCATCTGATGCTGAGACCAGCCCTCTGGTGCTCATACCATCTCCTCTGTTACCTGTGTCATACTTCCTGCAGCTTTTCCACACAGCCTACCAGTTTCTTGCTCTGTGCTACTGCCTGCACAGATCTCCCTCCTGTCTGTCTCAAGGCTCATCCCTGCAGTTACCACAGGAAGGGTTCTCTTCCAAAACATCCCAGTGCCCTGTCCACTCCTCTAGTGCAACACCACATGTTCCCTTCTTTCCTTTCTCCAGAAATACTCACTTGTGCTTCTCCCTGCTTGTCTGGTTTCAATCCTGCCTCGGTGTAAGCAGCCAGTTTGTGTGTTCCTGGGGAGCAGAGGGTGTGGGCAGCCAGAAGGTGCTGGACAAAGTAAGGGCCTTTGGTTAGGAGGTGGTGACAGGTTGGGGCACTGATTCTGGATATTCTTATAATCAAGTGCTCACATCCCACACCCATTACATGGCAAATGAACCTGCAAGCTTGGAATTTTATCCCTACAGCACTGGAATGAGTTTGCTTGGCCATAGCAGCTGAAGCCTTAGGAGCACGGTAGAGGTTCTACCAGTGAACAAACCCATCCATGTCCAGACAGATATTGCTCTTTTCAAAAAGTCAGTTCTCCACCCCACCCTCTCCAAAAGGGTCTACATTTTAATGGAACTGAAGAAAGCAGATGTACAAGGGATCTTGAGAATTACCCAGCACCTCTGTCTGACCCGAGAGAGTCTCCACACCTATGGCAAAATTCTCTAACCTGGCCTTTAATAGGAGGGAGATCTTAAAATACATAGACAACACACACATGGCAGCAAAAAACTCCCTGAGCTTTGCTCATAGCTCCATATTCTGAGGCACTGTACCCCAGTGTTGATCCACACACCTTCTACTCCCCACTCCCACTTTCTATTCCAGTTTTCTTCCATTTCTGGATTGTTTGGGGATTCTGTGCTTCATCCTTTGTTATTCATTGGCAAGTGCTTGAGTGCAATGACAGCATAGTCCACACTTTCATCTTTGGCCTTCCTGTCAGCCTGACTTGGTTCAACATTACAGTAGAGAGTATCCTCAGAGCTGCGTTGAGATGTAAAGTTCAGGGCAGCATATTTCAGGTCATTGCTGTCATCCTTGGGACTTTCCATTCTTTCAGTGCTGCTTAGCTATGAAAAAAGAAAGAAAACACTTGTTAGCCTGATTCAGTGCCAGGCCACAGCTGTTACCAGAAGAACAAGGTTTTCCCATGAGGAAAGAGAAGCCATGTAAAAACTTACCTTTGGTCATGACAGAGGTGAAAGAACAGAAAACTCTCTCCTTGATAGAGGTTACAACCTCATCATCTAACCTTGGTTTCTAGCCTTTGAATAATTTCTCAGAGATTACTGGAATTTGCTCCACTGTATTTTTTTTTTTTTCTTGGAGTTTCCTTACATTAATTCTAGCACCACCACCACCTCTGGCTCTGGCTAGCAACATTCCTCTCTCTGATGATGTTAAATACTGTTTCCCCTCCTGCTCACAACCAAAACTGAGCACCAAGCTCCTCATCAGATAGGTCAGCCAGCTCCCCACAGACTATTGGTAAGGGATTTGGTACCATATGGGAACTCTATTGTTTTCCTTACCTGTGCTACGTTCTCTGGTTTGTCATAGGTGTCCTCTGCTTCTCTGTTACCTTTGGAATGAGCCAAACCAGAGGTTTTAGGAGTAGAGAAGTCCATGAAATGCCTGGGCATTGCCTATGCTTCAGGAGTTCTGGGGAAGGCTGTGGGATTGCCCAGCAAGAGAAGCAATGAGTGTGCCACTGGGGGTTTTCTACCCTGGATCTAACGTGTCAGGAGGTGTCCCGTGCAGAGTCTGGAGGAACATGAGTTTGATTTATTGAGGAAGCAAGAAGCCTGCCTTGAGGCTTTCCAGGCTGCACCTGCCTTATCTTCTCTGGGGCACTGGGAGCTGGGACTAAGCTCACCTGGAGTGGAGAAGCGATGGGCAGAGGAGGCCCTGGTTAGTGCAGACTAGAGCACAAAGCATCCCAGTCTCCACATACCTCTGCTCTTCCCCTGCTTGCGCCACAAGACGTACAGCGTTATCGAGCTGCTGAGTGCCAGGAGGAACAGGATGCTCAGGACCCCAGAGAGGAGGATGAAGGTGTTTCCATTCGAGCTGAAGCTAAGAGAGCAAAGGAGTTACCAGCAGGAAGTGGTAGCACGGCATGATGGTAGTTTGGTCACTACCAAACAATGACCAAAAAAAGGGACAGGAATAGTTTTATGCACTGGGTTTTATGCACTTGGTGTTATGCTCACGTTCTCCTGCAGCAATGCTGCCTTGGTTTTTCTGCCTGGCTGTGCCTTCTGAGCTTTTCTTAAACTACTCTCCAGGCTTTAAAAACAAGCCACTGTTCAAAGAGCACAGTTCCAGGCTTTCTAAGCAGGTATGGCCTTCTCCTCCTATGTTCTGCCACCTGGTACAGTGGAGCTGTTATATGATTATACTCATAGGTGCTTGTTCTAGTGTTGATCACAACAGATGTCCAAAGGGGAAGAAAAACCTTTACATTTAGTAGCCTGGTAAATAGAAGGATAACATAGCAGCCAAGGACTATTTCATTATTAAATATTCATGGACAGGGGCGAGCAAAGTCAAGACAGAAAGTTTTACAGGCAGAATCTGGGGGTTTCTATTGCTGCAGAGGGCACAGCCCAAAGAGATAAGGATAAAGTAGTAGATAGGCATCTACATTCCAGAAAGCTGTGACTTGATTTTACCAGTCTGCTCCTTCCTTTGTAATTACACTCTGGGCAGGAGCTGGAAGAGGAGAGGCTGTCTCTGGTAAGGACACCTGTCATACCTAATGCCTCTGTAAGCAGGAGTCTTCAGAAAGCCCAAAGACTGCCCACCCCAGGAAGACCAGTGTTTTATGGACAAGACATTAATAACTCTTGTCTGTGCTCAAGCTCAGAGACTTTCTCTAGGCCTCACCTCTGTGCTGTGGTGTTGTGAGAAGGGTTTGCTTCACTGGTGCCTGCAGAGCCCGATAGAGTTGTTCTAGGTGACACTGCAATGACAAACATGAAGAGACAAAGAATCATTACTGGGCTGCTTTGCATCCAACAGCTAAATTTCCCTGCCACTGCAGCCAGGGTTGTAACTGCAGTCCCACTGTGGCACCCAGCACAGACAGGCTGTCGGGGTGTAGCCTGTGCCACCCAGAGTCACTGGCAGCAGCAGAGCAATGTGAGGGTCAAAATGTGGGCAGGAGAGGCAAGGAGCTCAGCAGGAGCCACGCAATCTGTGCAGCCTCCCTGATGCAGGGCAGAAGGAAGTTCTGGAAGTACCATACACTCTATGGCAGAGATTGTCAGGTAGCCATGAAGTACTTAACCACTCTGTGCTTGAGCAGCCAGAGGTTGTGAGAACTAAGCAGTGAAGTATTGCTGTGAAAGACCTGGCTCTTAAGAATCACTTCCAGGACTGTTTCTGTGCCCAGGGCAGGCTGTGTGTGCCAGAACCTGCTGCTCGCTTAGAGACTGCATTCAGGCCCATGTGTTAGGATTTTCTCCTAGAGAATTTTACCATCCTCTTTCATCTTCTGGATTGCCAGATCCTTTCAGTGCTGCTCTGTTACATTCCTGAAAGGCAGGCTGCAGCATGGTACTGATCTGCTATGATCTGGTACCTAAATGTAATCCCTTACTGCTGAAACATCATGCTGAAAGAAAACCCAGAAGTCACAGATCTTTAAAATACAGGTCTAAAGGTTGTCCCCTTGGCAACCAAATGTGAAGGTCTTAACAATCTTTAAAATGCAAGGGATGAGTTGCTATAAAGGGGCAGAACTGCTATCATGAGAATGAGTGACAGAAACACCTCTGTGAAGACAACTGAAGCTGCTCTCAGGTAAAAGAGAAGCAGCACAGCACACACGTGTGGTTCAGTTCTGATCCCTGCTGCCATTCCATAGCGTGGGTAGTGTGAGAAGGTGCAATGAGGTAGGGTCAGGGCAGGCAAACACACCCACATGCAACAAGGAGGTGGTGTAAGCTGGGCAGTGCAGAGACTAGAGGGAAGAGGGTAGGAAAGTGAGTCTGGAATCCACAAAGAATCCTGATTCCCTTCCCTGCAGGTCAGTACTCACTGCTGGGAATGCTGAGCGTAACCTCCGTCATCCGGAAGAGCTGCCCGTCCTCATAGAGCGCACACCAGTACACACCAGCATCCTCTGCCTGCAGCTCCCTCATGGTGACAGTGACAATGCCCTGCACCTTGTCATCCTGGATTGTGACCCGCTCT